GACTGAGATAACATATCAAGGAAAAAAAAAAACCAAAACCTGACAGTAAGGGAAGATGAAGGACCAGGAGCATCCTTGACTGTGGTTCTGACAGTCACAGTGTTTGAACCTGTTCACGTTACTGAAGAGAGGTTCTCATGTCTCTGTTTGGTTTATACTGAAGTCTACAGTCTACAAGGACCGTTTAAAAGTTTCCATATCTGTAACATTTTGAACTTTCTGTGAAAATGTCATAGAAAATTATAATTTTTCCTCTTGCAGGAAATTAAAAAATAATGCATGATGACCTTTGTAAAAAATTTAGTCTGTTACTTCCAGACTTATTTTATGACCCAATTGTATATCAAAAAAATAGATGGAAAAATTCTATCAGATAGTTACTAAGAGTTATTCATTATTTAACTAGAGCAGTCAGCATTGGGAGGCGACTAAATTCATGGGGGAAGAAAAAGATACTTCAGGTTATTTCTTTAAATATATTACAGAGTTTTCCATTTCATTGACAGTTGTAGTGACATTTGCAAACCCTAACACTGAATTATGCCAGTTCTCCTACACATTTAGAATGATCCGGGGGAAGGAGGGCTCATGGGTGATAAATTCTCTTTCTGCTACTGTCTGCAGTAACATTCAGTGCTGTCTCCTACTCTATGTCCCCCTCAACAAGTGCATTCTGTTATCCGACCTTAAATGTAGCTGTTGATGGAAATGGAGTGGTTTTCAGTTAGGTAGGCTGGTTGATACAGTTTACTATTTGCCAGGCAGTAGTCTGAGCACTGCACAAATACTAACTCATTTGCTCTCCACAGCAGCCTTGGAGAATGGGTTCTATAATGCTTCTCATTTTAACAGATGTGAAAAATGAGGCAAAGAGAAGCAGAGTAATTTGGCCACATTTACACAGTGAGCGGCAGAGAGAGGATTTGGTTTCCAGGCTGTGAACTCTTGAGCACTATGCTTCGTGGCCTCCAGTTTAAAAAATCAGCCTGGTAAGAGTTTTATTCAATCTTTATGTGTTTCAGATACAGTGATATGTTTTTGCCCAAGAATATTATTTATTATGTTTTAATCTCAACTTGCCTCTGTAAGTGATACAGTTTTGTGGCATTTCACATTAGTTGGGGGCACGATACAGCACAGCCATTGTCCAGCCCTAGGACTTTACTGTTGAAGCAAAGGACAAATGTGTCATCTAGGATTGTGTGTGGTGGTGAGCGACTGAGAGCCACAGATGACAGTGGATTAAGTCAGATGCTTACTTCTCTCATGAGTGATGTTGGAGGTTGGCAGTCTAGCTCTGATATGATGGCTTCATGAAATCATCAGGGCCCTGTCTAGGTTGCTGACCTGCCTTCCTTGGCATGTGGCTTCTACCTCGTGGTCCAGGATGTAGCTCAGGTTCCAGCCATCACTCGCAAAAGAATTAGGGAAAAAATGGTAATCAGGGGCATTTTCTAGAACTCTACACTCCACCTCTGCTTGCCTCTTATTGTCCATATATTAGCCCATGAACACATCTAGCTTCAAGGGAGGGTGGGAAATATAGTATTTATTAATACAGCCACGTGCCCAGCTGGAATCGAAGGCTCTATTACAGGTGAGAAGGGGTGAGTGGAGAGCCAGCGCTAAGAGTCATCTAGCAGTATCTGCCATTCCAGGGTACAACTCTTGAGTTTCCATTTGTAACTGAGGAAATGATGAGTGCTGTAATCTTCTCTAATAACTAAATTTCGTTGCTTTAGCTTTCTCTTCTCTTACATAAAACTGTTGCCTTTGGTTACATCTCCAACGTCTTCGTTTTAAAAAATTTTTTTAACTTTTATTTTTGGAGGGGGTAGGTAATCAGGTTTATCTATTTATTTTTTTAATAGAAGTCCAGGGGACTGAACCCAGGACCTTGTGCATGCTAGGCACACACTCCACCATTGAGCTATACCCTCCCTGCCCATCTTACTTCTTCCAAAAAATTTTTTTAACTGAAGTGTAGTTGATTTACAATGTTTCAGGTATACAGCCAAGTGATTCAGTTATACACAAATATATATATATATATATATATATATATATATATATACACATACACACACACACATACACACACATGTATGTGTGTGTATGTATATATATATATATATATGTATATATATATATATTCTTTTCAGCTGCTTTTTCATTATAGGTTGTTATGCGATACTGAGTATCGTTCCTTGGGCTGTACAGTAGGACCTTGTTGTTGATCTATTTTATATATAATAGCGTGTATCTGTTAATCCCAAATTCCTTGTTTATTCCTCCCCATCCCTTCCCCTTCGGTAACCATTAGTTTGTTTTCTGTGTCTGAGTCTCTTCTTCCAACATCCTACCTCTTAAACTCTTGCTGAAACGCTGCTGAAAGGTGGTCCGAGGCACGAGCCATCACCGCCCTTACTCTCATTTTCCCTCCCAGAGACCGCTGGACTCCTGTTACTTTCCCTGTCAGTTTTTCTGCTTTTGAGTGCGGAAAATTTTATCCTTTTTCATTATTTTCTGCCTTGTTCTCTTACCTGAAGCTACACAGGATCCATTCCCAGTCCACACACGCCCACCTTGCAGGGAGCCTCCAGCCTCCTTCAGCGTCATCCCCAGGGACTCTCTCCTGCCCTCGCTCTTCTGCCCCGCCTGGCACCTTCAGCGTGGCTCCTTGCTGCTCATGGGACCTCAGCCACTGGGGCCATGGGAATGGTGTTAAGCCAGTAAGGTGCTGGGGAGAAGAGCTGAGACTTACGGAGTCTTGATAGACATGCATTTTTTGCATTAGGCTTGAGAAGTTGCACGCTCAACCCTGTAAACCTGTAAAAACTTTGTTTGTGTTTTAGCAGAAGGAGAGGACTTAGTTTTGTGAAAAGTAAAACTGTAGACCCTGAGACACTTTGCTGTTTGATCCTATTTCACTAAGAATGGAACAGCCTACTTTTCTGTGAATCAGCTGAGTCTCCCATGCATAGAAGCAGTGTTGCAGATTCCAGAGAAGGGATTTCCAGGCACAGCATTCTGTGTTTATCTTAACACTGTACCTTCCAAGGAAACAGCCCTGAATCTACTTTGCAGCCCAGGACTGATATTAGCCTCTTTACACACAGATCTGCTTTACTTTGAGACAAACATTGCTTAATAAAACTACCTACACTCTCACTTCCTCACCCAATGCCCAAATTCTTTAATTAACTCTATATGATTCTTTGGGGAGAGGGATTCCAGGTTTTTCTAAGAGTGTCCTCCCTTATGATAACAGGCAATAATCCCTAATTGTCTTAAACTACAGGTTGGTCCCTGGAATTATTATCAGACAGGCTGTTATAAATCCTATCATGGTGCTAAAATCCTGAGGTCAATGTGATGTCGTAGATTTTATAATTCTGTTTAGTTAGCCCAGAACGTCAAGGGGTCAGTGCTAATAATCCAGCAAGTCCCAGAGCGAGTAGAAGTTTCCAGGCAAGAATTGTAAATACAGAGGAAGGAGAGGGCAGTGATGAATACTTAAGAGTTTGAAATAGCTCAGGTATGGATTTCCTTCCTGGCTGCAGCTGTTGAAATTCTGTGCCATTGGTTATCACTTAATCTCTTAAGCATTGTTTTTCTTCTGCGTGAAAGTGGGAACTAAGAACACACCCTCGTTGGAGGATAGGATGTAACTGGTCACACGGAGGCTCGGCACGGGGTGTGCGCGGTGAGTGGCGGGGTTCGGGTTTGGTGCAGTGCTCTTCATGTACAGTGGAAGACAAATGCACCAAAACTCCACATTTCTATTTATAGCTTTAAAAAAATCCCAGGCAGTTTACTGTATCTCATTTTGCCTGGAATACAAAATGGGAATAAGAGTACAAATCTGACATGAGTGTGTTATTAAATTAAGGTGATAACACAATAAACGTGTCCAATATAGTAGCTGGTAAGCTAAGCACCCCATTAGTGTTAACTGTCTTTTTCTGCTTACGCCTAGTTTTCAGTTTTGCTTCGAGAAATATGGTAATTGAAAAGAGTACAATTTGAAGAGGATCCTATTTCAGTTAATAAGCACGTGTTCTCTGTGAGCAGGCCTCTTCTCCCTGCTTCTGTCCACATAGTTCGTTTCCAGCTCAGATGTGGGGCGGGGATTGTCCCTGGAGCTGGGCCGTCACACGTGGCCACTTTCTGAGCCAGCGTCCACCAGGAAAGTGTTTCTGAGTCTTCTCTCTGATAACTGCACATGCCTTTCAATTCCAGATAGCAACCTGAGCTCTCTTCCCCACGGTGAGGACGGATAAATTAGCATTAGAAATGTTCAACCAGCTTTTTGCTCGGGAATTCTGGTTTTTAGATCCTTTGCTTCATATGTCCTGACTCCCCCAAGACCCCTCACTCAGTATGTGTAGAGTCCCAAGTGTTCTCCTCTGTCTTACATATATTCTGGCACTTTCTGTGAATCAAATGTATTTGTGTGTGTGTGTGTGTGTGTGT